CTCGAGATTTGTTAGGAACTGTTCGTGCTCTTGTGCTGTGTAAAACTGTGCGAATACACGCATTCTGTCCCTAAATTCTCTGTATTGAATAAAAAAAAACAGCTTAATACACATGAACCGAAGAAAATTAAATATCTGTTAAAATGTTTCATAAATAATAAAAGAAAAAAGTACATTAATATGAAACATACTTCTCTTCTTTCGTCCGTTTTTTCTTTATTCCTTTATCTTTCCTGGATGACGCGAAGAAAGCCGACACAAGCTGGTAATCTCTCACGACGCGTTTTCGTCTGGCTCGCTCTCTGAGATTATTGGTGTACATATCAACTTGTGCTAGTTTAAGTGCAATATCAAGATCATCGTCTTCGGCAGGATTCAGGAACAATGAAGATACGAGAGATTCAGCCTCATGATTGTAATCCTGGAAAAAAAAGCATAATAAATGAATCACATTTAAAAAAAATCAAATCAAATTTTTAGAATGCCAATTTTACTCTTTCAAAATCATCTCGTTGGGGCATGTACCCCAGTTGCGCGGCTTCTTCCGGGGTGATGTCCAATGGTGGTAATTTAGATGTGAGGTCAGGCGATAGAGGACCATGGTCAGACTTCGTCTGATCCGTAAGATTTGGTACGTAGCTATCTGTGGGTGGCCATGTATGTTTTCCGATGTTACCATTAAGATACCTTGCGATATATTCTTCTTTTGCTTCTGTAATGATAAATAAATAAATTCTGTAATAACGGGATGTTGAATAGCACAGTGCTAGAGTAGTTGTCTGTCAAGCAAAAGATCCGAGTTCAAATCTTGAACTTTCCATCCCATATATACAACACCAGACATAAATAAATTATTAAATATATTTTCCAATTTTTCAAACTGTGTTCCAAACACAACCTTGAAACACAGTCGAAAACGGAAATAATAACATCACATCATGTATTTAATTGTCACAAGGTGACACTGGCAATCGTGATACATTTAAACGTCAGGGACGTCTCACATCCGGAATACTCCGGAACTGTACGCACGTAATAAATTTACAGTGCCGCGAGAACCCGCGACGATCGGCGCGGAGCACGCTAATGATCTCTAAATTCTTTAGGATGAAATCTCACTCCAGAAGTGTGAAAATTTTGCCACTCTTGAAAAAGACGTAAAATCGCTCGAAAAAAAAAAAAGAGTTAAAATTCTGCCACTCTTGAAAAAGATCTTTCATTCTTTTCGAATGAGATTTTACTTCGAAGAATTTAGAGAACAGGATCGCCAATGTCTTGATCCCGCTGATTAGCTTGCCGATACGGTTATTTAATAGCTGCGGATAGACGTTAAATGTTATCGACAAATCCGCCGCGCGCGGATCACGATTTCGTCCCTCAAGAAACGCTATTTCGCGAAGTCCCTTGCTGAAGAGCAGCGGAAGGGATCGCCGCTGTGATCGTTCATATTAATTATTTTTATTTTTATTTTTTTTTCGCACTATCATCTCCTCACTTTTCGCACACACGCTGTCTATCGGACACATTCTCTCCATCTCTCGTTCAATCCTTTTTTTCGTCGTACCTGTATTTCTTTTCATATGCATTCATATTGCTCGTCGCTCTTTTTTTTCTGTCTTTCATACTAATAAAAACCTAAATAATAACAATAAAATATTATGAACAATCATGCAGGACAGGCATCCAACTTCAACTCCGGAGCTAAAATGCTTCCTCTACCTCATTTAATTGAATATGATTGATGATTTTGAATATGACAAAAGGTGAAAGATAGAAGACGATAAGAATGAATTTAAAAAAATTGACTTTAGATTTTGTGACATTTATAAAGTATGCTAGTTAAATTACCTTCTGGTGTACGCGTCTCGATATGTTTGCTGATGTCCTCCCAATTTCCAAATCCAAATTGTTCGATCGCGTCCAGAAGTCTCAGCTGTTCTCTGGCTGTCCAGTTGCCACGACCATTAAATATGCTGATCGTACCAGAGTCCTAAATCAATGCATACAAAAATATATTAACATGCTAAGTTCTGTAGCACACAATTTCAAAATTGTCTTTGTTCATAATATACTGATACGTACCATAAATTGATAGGCATGATTATTTTTATGTTGACCAATTTCAGCACCGGCGGAAAAACACTAAAAGTAATTTACAAAATTAATATGTTTCAATTACATTTTAAATTTTACATATATATTTTTTGATCACAAATAAATAGACGAGCGCTAAATACAGTCAAGACTGGATTTTCGTGCATTAATAATTTCTATATGAATTATTACATATTCCATTTCTGCAAACGGTGCACTGAATAAAGCCGGTCTTAGGATGCGTTCTGTTTCACGCATGATGTGCATAAGTATATTTTATCCTTTCTGAATTCGGTGAATAACAAGGATAAATTAATACATCATGCGCATTATGAAATAGAACGCATACTTGAAATGCAATTAAATTAAAGTTGGAATATTAATATCACAAATCAATCATTAATTAATTAAATAATAATGCTAATAAGCCATTATCTCAGGATGATATTTTCCATAATAAATTCTTTATAGTATTTTAAAATGTTTATATATTAGCATTATTATTATTTAATTAACGATCGATGTAAAAGCCTACAATTTTTCTTGCTAAATTGCTTGCATTTTAGTAAATTACTAGAATTGCATATCAAAACACAGAATTTCTAGTAATTTATTGAAATGCAAGCAAATCCAATAAAAAAAAAACGTAATATGAACCATAGACTTTATTTGTGATACTATTATTCTAGCTTCAGTTTGGGAGCGTTTTAAGACCAGTTGTGTTTGACACGCAGTTTGAAGAACTGAAAAATGTATTTAATAATTCACGTAGAAATATTATTAGATTTTGACTGTGTTTAACGTTCTTCTATTTACTTATGTTATTATTACATAAAAATATCACATAAACGAGTCTAAATTAATTTATTATTTTTCAATTAATATTAAATTTGTGTGTACAATATACATTTCACATATAGATACATTTAATACAAAAACTTTTCTTTTAGGACACATACTTGACACAAAGTTGTTTTATCTTTGTTAATCATTGTGAATGCTAAGAATAGAACGACGTTTGTATCTACTATATCTACTAAAAGGAAAGCAGCCAAAAATACACTTTCAAATCATTAGTGTCATTTTTTGCGAGGCACAAATAAAATGTAAAATATAAATAATTTGAACAGCAAATAATATTAAATATTACTGATTAAATTATTATGAGAAATATATATATTTACTCATTTCAATAATTCATTAATTATACCATTCATTATTTTGAAATTACAATATTAAAACTTTAGGTATCATAATTCAAAATATCCATCATTAAAGGCCGAAGCACAGATATTTGTATGATAATGTATAAAATATGAGAGTATATCCACACAAACTTAAATAGCTGCATAAAGTATGCATAAAGAAAATTATCCAAACGCATTTCTCTTATAAAGATGTATGTAAAATGTGATTGGATAATTTTCTTTATGTACACTTTAATTAATTTTGATATTTTTAGACCCTAAGAAAATCAGTATCTTTTATTTCATAAAAAAAAAAAGGAAATAAAAAAACTTTAATTCATTCTCTATGCATTTTGCATTGTGCATTATGCAAGACTGCTCCATATAAAGACTTTGGACCAATGAGCATCCAATATAAAGGCGTCATGTTGATTTACATAAGATGCTCATTGATCCTCATGCTACGCTTATGCAGTTTACATCATTTTGGGTACCATTTAATAAATAAGATGTCATAAATATCGTTCTATTTTTCTATGAGTAACAAAGACAGAATGATCCTAGTATCTAGTAACATTTTCCTGGAAATATTAGTGCAACACAGTTGCACACTGATTGTGAGTGCAACTGAATGCAAATCAGTTTACATATTTCCAGTGTTAATAAATTTCATCTTTAATTAGATTATTTAAATAGATTCTTCATTAATAATATGATTTCAAAGAGAATAAATTATATTATATATTAATCTTGAAAATATGTAAAACGATTTGCATTAGTATTGCATTAGTTTTCCCAGTGAAAAATGTTATAATAGAAGACACCCTTTGTGTGTGATAGCCCTGAAGACCTCTGTTCTTTGTCATTGCAAAAGATATCTATAATAGAGAAGTACTTAAGCCTTAAGAAATTGGTCAATCACAGTTAAATATAAGAAGAATAATAGACTATTGCCCGTATTTATAGTCAGACTTTGTACTTAAGGCTTCCTTAAATTTACTTTTAAATGCTCAACAGCCAATGAAATAATTCGTAGAGTAATTCTAAAGATAAATTTAAGGAAATTTTAAATATAAGGCCTGACTATAATAATACGAGTATATGATTGGTTAAAAAAACCAAAAGTTTTTTTCTTAAGTTCTTAAAGTTTTGCTTTTTTATAGATATCGTGTAAAATTTTCTATCTCGCTTTTGCCAAATTCCAAATATAAAATCCATGTGTTGGTTGCACCTTTTGCATTCAGAATGTGTTCTTTGTTTCAAATACTTAAATATATATATATATTTATCTCATTTTAAGTGCAAACATTTTTAAGGACTTTAAGTAAGAAATAAATCTGTTTCATTTCAAGTACTACAATAAATGTACAAAGTTTAGCTACAAAGAACTAGATCTTTAGTCATCAATTTTAGGATAGGCGAATAGAGTAAAAGAGGGGAGGGATAGGGAAGAAATAAGGGAGAAACATGAAAACACAAAAGAACAAACATAAAAGCGAATACGATCGAAAGTATACAAGAAATACAGAAAAAAAACGAATAGATATTTAACGAAAAAGAGGGGGGAAAAACCTAGCATGACAGAAAAAAAGAAAAAGGCAACGGAAAGGTCGAAAAAAATGAAAAAGAAGGCGAGATATGTATCACGTGATTCAAAATGGTCGTCCGAACGGTCGACCCACCTGCAAGCAAAGGTCGAATTCGGGGCACTCGATGCATTTGACACGTAGACCTGCGATGTCCTCCTGGCAATAAGTGCAGCTATATTGCGCGTACAAATCTGAAACGCAAAACGCATAATTACGTACAAAGACCGGCGATTATAATGGCAAAGGGGCGCAAAAGGGTCGCTCGACGCAAACATGGAATACGCACCCGCCATTGTCTTGCTGGATCTTTCCAGAGCAGATTCGGATGACGTCACCGCATACCATCGAGGTGTGAATTTTACGATATCACGAGATGCCGAGTCGCGGTGCAACCGCCGTAACCATCATCTTTCGGCTCGCGTAAACCCACGCGAGAACGCCAACGCCGCAGAATCGCGACGCGTCTCACCCTACGAGACGCTCGGTTCACCCCGTACAGGCGTGCTCGAGTCGCGAGGAACACCAAGAAAAAAAAAAGGAAGGGTCGTGTTTACGACTGTTGCGTCGCGCGACGAATACGCATGCGTCGGGCGCCAGGCTCTCTCAGCTGCTCAAACGTGGTTCTCCACTGACAACTATCGACTCTTGGGTCTCTTGGCGATTCTCACACCTTGGTGATTCGCTTCACTACCGCCAGGTACCAATATGCGCGGGAAAATGCAAAGCAGTAACCAATGAACATGTTAGGGGATGTAAGTTTATTGGCTATTGCGTCACACTTTGCCGCGCTGTAAGCGTTTCCGCAGCCAGTGCAGGAGACAATAGGATACGTTTTCATGAGCTCAAACTGATTGTTTTAACCATGATAGAATTATATAAGATGAACCATTGCACATAATGGCGAGATACGACCAATCAAAATTGTACTAATTTGCAGTGAACTTATTTGCAGAACGAATTATGTGAATTTCTACAAATGAACTCAAAAATTGATTGGTTGATAGATCTCCCCACTACTTTCAACCCACTGCGCATCCGTAGGAATAGTTTATTTTACAGCATGGTTTCAACAACAAAAAAGAATTATGATCAAAATTGACGAACAGCTGCGTTTCAGAAGAAAAGTAGCTTTGCAACTGTGTAAAATTCTGTAATTGGTTTAGGGCTGGTTATTCCGCCTTTTGATAAATTTTACTTGTTGGGTAAGAAGCAAGATTATCCAATCATATGCGCGAATTACCAGATTTATCTCACAGATAAAATTTACCAAAAAGTGGAACAATCGGTACTTATACTCGTATTCATATGTCCGTATTCATAATCAGATCTTGTACTTAAGATAAATTTAAGACTTCCTTAAATTTATCTTTAGATGCTCAGCAGCCAATGAAATAATTCGTAAAGTATCTAAAGATAAAACCTTATATTTAAGGCTTCCTTAAATTTATCTTTAGATACTCTACGAATTATTTCATTGACTGCTGAGCATCTAAAAATAAATTTAAAAAAGCCTTAAGTATAAGGTCTGACTATGAATACGGACATTATATATTTAAATCCAGTGAGGAACTAAGGGTAAGATCAATCATGTTAAAGAATTTTATAACATGCGTTTGGTGTCACGTGATTACGCCACTGATTGAATTAAATAGGGCTGCGTTCGGATTCCCACCTGGGTGCTTCTCGAGTGTCATGTTATCCTTGTTTAACGTTCAGTAAACAACAAGGATGATATAACATTCGGAGAGGACTCAGGTAGGAATCCGAACGCAGCCTAGATAATTATAATGAATGATTTATAATTTTAATTTCTTGTTTGTAAAATGAAAGTTGTAATTATTGCAATCGAATTGATAATCCCTCCTCCCCCCATAATAGAAGATTAAATTATAACTTTAAATAATATATTATCTTTCTTTGAAATAATTATATGGGTCATCTAAAAAGTATCCACGGTTTTTTGTCACTAGATGTGTGTTGATGGTCATATATCTAGTGACAAAGTACCGCGGATACTTTTTAGATGACCCAATATATATCTCTTTTTTTAAATTATGTTCCTTTTCTAAATATTTGGTTTCTTAGTAACCGATAAACAAAAAAAGATAAGATCACTAATATTTATTTTTGTCAGATCTAAATGTTAGCAAAGCAAGTTGAACATTAAACCAGGTTGCCATTAAACCAGAAATTTCGAAAATGTTTAAATGGAATGTGCACAAAGTAACGCAATATAGTAACTCGGAATTTTCTAATAACATGTTAAATATTATAATTAATTATTAATATGCATCATCACTGAATAAAAAGAACCATAATTCTTGTTATCATAGTTTAAAATTATTGTGTTATTGAGTTAATGTCAAAAATGTGTGTCTGTTAGTAATAAAATAAACTTAAAACTTAATCATATAGTTTCGCAAAGTATTTTTCTATTAATTAAAATTATTAATTTTTTTTATAAATAAAATTTCTCAAAAACTCTTACTTGCATAAAGCTTGATAGAAACAGAAGGAACAAATCCTTTGTGCCAATTTAATAAGTAAAATAAATGTAGAATACTGAATTTTCAAAAAAATATTAAGAAATTTTTAACTTTCAATTTAGATACGTATGTACAATACTCTATTATCACGAAGATTATTGGGCACAAACCAATCTCTTGAGTGCAAGGAATTCCAGAAATTTAAATTGAAGCAAGCAAAAATGCAGGTAAATTCATAATTCGAAACAATCTTTAAAATTTGACTTAAGAATTGTATTAAAAAAATCAATATTAATGCATAACATCGTAAATTTCTAGTGTGATGATGGACTTCCAGTTTATTTAAAAGGTGGCATGCGCGATCGAATTCTGTTTTATATTTTATCAAGTTCGGTTTTTGTTAACACGATAGTATCATTATACACACTTTATATATCCGACCAAGATTATATGTCAAAGAGATAATTATAAAGACTTCCCCTTTTAAACAGTTCACGTCGAAACTTTTTCTCTAGAAGGTTCAGATATTTTATTTGATATAATCGAATTTGTAAATTAGAATATCTAACAATTTCATTTTATGTAAAACATCAATACATCTGATATATTATACACGCATTCAAATATACACATGCGACTACATGTGTTTACATTTATGTTCTTAATATTGTTTCTAACTTTGGAAGAGATTTTATAAATCTATTAATCACTCTATTATTATGATACTATATAAATGTCGAATAGAAATTATTCATCAGTCTGTTAAATTGTACAATAAATTCCGCGGAACATAAAAATTTATAATTCATTTCACTCTAAATTCATTTAACATATGGTTTGCTACAAGCGTGATATGACATAATCAGCTATATATTTAAGCAATACTAAATGCAAAAATTGTAAAAAGATAACAATGCAACTCATACTATAATTTAATGCTTACAACTTATAAACATGTATATGTCCATAATTGTAATTTCAAATATAATGAATAAAAATATAATTACAAATAAAGCGATAAAACAACTATAAAATATATCCTTATCGTAATTATATATATATTATCTTAGCGTATTGCGTAATTTTGTGCTCCATAATGATTTAGATCATATCCGATATAAATATATGAAAAATTGTATAACATTTGTTTTCTCTATCGCATGTAGGAAAGTCAATTTTGTACTTTCAATATTGATAATAAGCGAGCATATATTAAAAAATACAATATGTTGTGATATCACAGAAAAACATATTTACATTATGTTACAATATTATACGTTCGTCTTACTAGTAACACTTAATAAAGTTACTTGGAAACATTATTAAATAAAGTTTCTTATAACTCATTCTCTATTTTTCTGTAAGCTTTCTTTTCCATCGATATTTATAATATCTACATTGGATTTCTCTGTAACAGATTTTCTTTGACTTTCTGATATATAAGTATCTGTATTATCGTGTAAGTTAGCTGCATGTTCTTTTGATAAAGATTTTTTTCTTTGTTGTATTAGAGCTTTTAGAGCTTCATTAAATTGCAGCAATGTTTCAGCAATTGGCCGTTCCATATATTTAGCTGCAATTTCGTCGAATTGATCATCTTCCTCTGAAGTTAATTCATGTTTAATATATTTAAATTGATCTATTATTTCTTTAAGACTTTCTCTAGCATCTTTTATCATTACTTGACCATCATTTTCTGCAGAATAATCCACTTCCATAGGTGAATCACTCTCAATGTAATTTGCATTACTCATATCATTTGATACTATTGTATCATCATGTATGAAATTTTTTTCAAATTCTTTAAACTGATTTATTATATTTCTTATACTTTCTCTTACATTCACTAATTTAGATGGTTTAATTTTCTCTTCCTTATTCTCTTCCTCTGCAATTTTTGTTTCAGGGAATTCTGCGTTAACTTTATGTCGTGATTTTACAATCTTTTTTGCGTCTGTTTTTACATCTACAATTTCGTTCTCTTCTTCTGTTATATCCTCAGATTGTTCTAAATTATCTGATTTTATTACCTTTATTTTATCTTTCTTTTGTAAAACTGATTTCTGTTTACTAATTGTACGTTCATCTTTTACATGTTCTTTCTTAAGTTCTTCTCCCGTTATTGTTGATTTATCTATAAAAATTGGTGATTCTTTTAATTCCTGTTTCAATATTTCTACTCTTTTTAACATATGTGTTACTCCTTTCTTTTTCATTGATTTTATCGGAAGTTCTATATTTTTTCGTTCATCGTTGACTTCTCTCCTCTGTTTAGCCTCTAACATTTTTTCTTGAATTATTTTTTTTATACTTTCTTTAATACCTTGAGTTTCTTGACGTAAATTTGTATCTTCTTTAGATTTTCCCTTAATATTTTCTTCAATTTTTATTTTTTTATCAAATTTCACATCACTGATATCTGAAATATCTGAAATAATATTGAAATCTTTCTGAGAATCAATATTTTCTTCGTTTTTATCTCTTGAATCCGACGATAATTTATTTATACTTTCAGCTTCCCATGTAGTAGTATTTTCCATAGATATGTTATCATCTGCCAAATCAAATATTTCTACTTCTTTTTTCATTACATCATTTCCTTTTTTAGTCTTTTCAAATTCGACATCTGAAAAATTTTGTTCAACAGTTTCTTTTGCCTCTTCAAGTTTTTCCAGTGAGTCTACAACTTTATTAATTATTTCTTCTTTAAAAGACATGTTTAGTTTTACATCTTTTATATCATCTACCTGTTCTATCAAATATTTTATAGAAGTTTGTGAACTTGCTTTATTAATATCATATTTGATATTCGATTTTCTTTTCATAATAAATATGCTAGGCCTTGTTTTAATTCTAATAGGTGGTAACATATTATAATTTAATGTTATATGCGAAAACCCATCGATAGAATCAATAATATCATGAGTTTTAAGATAAGGCTTTATACTCGGTGAAAATTTGTTTCTTCCTCCTATCAAGAGATGAGTAAATTGTAGCATTTCAGGATCATCAATAGTAAGGTTTTCTTGTTTTGAGTAACTGTAATATAATAAATAATCTTGCTATTAAAAAATATCATATTGGGGATATTATTGGAGGAGTTAAGCAAATTAACTTACATCCAAGAAGCATTTGTCTGTGTAAATCTTGATACTCCGGTTTGTGCAGTTAACACATCAATATGCACATGTATTGGCTCGATAGAGTTTCTCTCAAGTCTGTGTAATCTAGCAATTGCCAAACCTCCAGGGTAATTAAAACTGGCCACACACAGTAAAAACATGGAGAATATAGCATTTAATACAAGATGACTCAAGACTACTATCGCTAGAAAACTATTCCACGTCGTTTTTGCTCTGTTTTCCCATCTAATTTTCAACAAGAAACAATTTTTACATTATATTACATTATTACATTATATTATATTATATTATATTATTACATTATATTATATATACATTTATTAATAATTATTTATTTATATTTATTTAAAATTATATATAATTATTAAAAGAAAGATAGTATTTATATAAATATTTTTCTCTTTATATTTTTACTACTAAGAGCAAAAGAACATGTTAATAATAATCGTAATTTTGTAATCCTTATAATTAAAATATGTTTGAAAAAAATCATGTTGGTAAATTAGAATGGAATTACTGATGAAAAAATAATTAATTTGAATAAAATATATATACTTACATTCTGTGGCAAGCAGCAGCTGCAGCAACATTTAACAATGGGAATACATATATTACAAATCTCAATTCCTTATGTGGTAAAAATGAAAATAATATAACGAATAGAATAGCTGGAACAGTAAGCACGCGAACCCTAATATCCCAGAACATCCCAAGAGGAATTAGAAAATATGAAAATGCTAGACCTCTTGGCAGGGCTGAATAGAAGTACCATAAAAATGGTGATGTCTATTTATGTGTTAAGTTTATTTATGTATCGATATACATATACATATTAAAAAATTATAAATATATACTTAAAGATCTCTACAAAACAAAATATCTCAACAATCGAAAGTGTCATTTCAGAATTTAGGAGTTTATCATATTACAATCTGAAATTTGAATAAACACTAGCCTAGTGATGTGACAGATCAAAAACAATTTTTTCTTACATAATTCAAGATTATCATCCGAGATATTAAAAATCCTTAATGAAAAACTTTATTATTACATCTGAAAAGGATACACCCCATTCGCTGCTTTTGTTAAGAATAGTGTTGAAATAAAATACTTCGCCTTCTGGCCATACTAAGCGTCTCCAGAATATTGAATCTGTAGCAATAGTAAGTGCTAAGAACAATACACCAGCTGGAACCGCAATTTTAAGCAGTCTAAAAATTATTATAAAACATTATTGTGCAATAAGTAATTCGGAAAGAAAATTATATAGAAGATTAGATATCTTTTAATATAATGATATGAAATCGAATCGGGCTTGTGTCTCAAAATCCAAGGATTCATGGTAATGTATTCAATACACATAACGATTAGAGATTTGACTTGAAAGCTTACAAATCTGTGCAGTTTTGCAGAAGACCCCATGATGATTTTAATTTCTGTTTGTAATCTTACAGCCATATTAGGAATCAATGGTCCATGACATAATATGTAAATACCTTTGTACAGAAAGTGTCTGGCTCGCTATATTGTGTAAGAGGAACAATCCCAAAAGTATGGCAAGTTCTGCTCTGAATATTATTATAGCTGCAGCCGATGACCAGATAAACAACACATGACTTTTCCTCAACCATCCAAATAAGGCCAGTAATACTGCAATATTATTCATTAATTAAAAAGAAAACGAATATATGAAATTATACTGATCATTTGCTACAACATATTTCAAAAATATAATTTTGGTGTAGTAACTAATTTTAGAAAACTAAGTATATGTTCTTTTAAAATACGATCTTTTTTCCATTGTGTTTTCATTCTTCTTCTGTAAGCAAATCAAAATGAGAATTTTTTAAATAAATACTAAATAGAAATGGAAGGAGCTATGAGCCGAGCAGATTGTTTGTACTAATTATATATATTTCTAAAATAGACAAATAACAAACGTTTCGATTCCTAAAAAAATTGAATCATTATCAATGTTAGTATAATCGTTATGATATAAATTAAAAATCGTCTCTAAATTGCATTAATATATGTAATCGCTAACGAAGAAACAATTTTTTAATTATGCCATTGTTGTAACGAACAATACGAATCAAGCATTTTAATATGATAAAGAAATATTAAAAAATTAGCAAGGATGGTATACATACACATAAAAGTTTTACTTTATTACCTAAAGGCATAACCATAATGTTTGGCAGTGGACGACTAAGATAGTACATAAAATGATACTGTGTCACAGTTATAGCCATGAACCACTTTGTAAATTGCACCCCAAAGATTTTTTGTAAAGCCTGTCTATATAATTTGAACGTAGATATTACCAATAGTCCCAATGTTGCTCTTACTAAAAAAAAATATTAAGCCTTTTATTCTAAAAAAAAATAAGTGTGATTATATTTTAAAATTATTGAACTTACCTATATACTGAGCAAAAAATTTATTGAGCTTTAAGTAATTAATACATGCCACCAATGGTGAAGCAAGACCAGATACGATAATAGGTCCCAAAAAGGAACGTGGCACAACTCCAGGAAATTCATGATGATCATACTGTTGAAAAAAAAAATACCAAAACTATATTAACAATAAGAACAATAATATCTACTTAGTAAATTCATATAGTCAATCAAAAAATTAGCTAAAAAATTAACATAGTTAAAAAAGCAAATAAAAACTTATATTTCTATTTTTTCAAATGAAATATTTACTTTAAATATCTACTTTAAATATCTACTTATCTACTTCAATATACTCTATTAGTAATAAATTTCAAAGTAAACATTACATATTCACTTATCCTAATTGAAACATTGTTTCAATTCAAAACATTCAAATCACTACTGAAAGATTGCTAATTTTGAGAAATGTATCACTTTTCTATCAAAGCAGCAATACATTTATCAGAAATATCAGCAGAAAAAATAACATTCGAGTAAAGAATAAAAAAATACGAAATCGCCCGCTAATGCATTAAATGAACTCGGAGCGGCATCAGCTGATCGCGAGTTTATAAATACACGTATCTGATACTAAATATAATATGGCACTTTTTGTGTGCTGGCTGATCACAATCAATTGGCTAAGGTGGATAATAATCGTTGAATGATACCATATCCTCGGATTGGACGATTCAATAATCTGTTTAATGTTTCAGTCATTACCTCCGTTAAATTGAAGCCATGATAAAGAACATCGTGCATCGCCTGCAGATTGAAACTCTCCTCAACTTTCGTAAATGGGCAATATAGCAGGTGAACCACGGACACCAAGATAATCAGCTGATCCATGATCACCGTTGCACGTTCATGCAAAGTATACGTTGCCACTTGACGAACTCTTGGATCTTGTCATGATATAAATTCAATGTGACACAAAGGACACTTTTCTTTCGTCCAAACACACCGCGTGTCACCGCGACGTTATTACACTGCAACCACCACGTATACTGTTACAAAACGGAGTAATTTGCGCATGCGTTTTCTTGCTTCACAAGTGACCGGCATGCATAGTCCATTCTTATTTCAAATTGTCTTAAGTAAATGTCTTAAGCCAGATTGCATCAACGTTACTTTGATTTTAAGTGAGATTTAAAACTCTCTCTGTCTCTTTTTTTTCCCTTTAAAATTAGAGAGAGTTTTAAGTTTAGCTTAAAGTGTCAAAACAGTAATGCTGACGCAACCAGGCCTTAATCTTTAAGTAGGCGCACTGACAAAATTACACAATAACTGAAGGCTCTGGAGCTTCTCTTCCTGTCTCTTACTCGAGGAGGCTAAATACTGGATCGTATCATCTGTCTTGCATGATAGTTGTCATGATAATTGACTTCTTTTGGCAGATTGTAAATCCTAGAAAGAAATTGGTGCAACCGAATCTAAGATGCTAATATAATTCTGTGAGAAATTAGCTTATGATATCTTAAGACTGTACTTAATACGATTTTTAATGTAAGAACTGACTGAATATTTAATCGGAATTTGATCGAAGTCATTTCAGAAAAATTCATCTCTGTGCTCATTCATGTCTAATCGAAAAATATTTCTATTTGGAGATGTATCTTTCGATAATTGACGAGATTGACCGGCTTGACTCTCGCGCGAAAAATAAGGCAGTTTCGTTGCGCAAGCTCGCTTTATCGTCATCTGGTGACGAAAAGCGGCATTTATCAGCATTCATGTCTCACTTTTAGCAGCAAAGACAGTTTAATCAGTTTAGTGCAATTCAGGATTCACGATAACATCAGATAACATTGTATGCAAATCGAGAAACTAGGTAGAAAACTCCTCTAACCTCTTACTATTCTCGGCAAAGCCGAACCATGATGGAAAATTTCATATCTCAGTATTATTTGCAATATCGTTTGATCTGTCAATTGCTTTTTTGCGAGCTCTCGTAAATAGGTTACCAACAAAAGAATCAATCGATTATGCTCTTTACGTTCTCGAATATATTCATACAATTTCTATTTATCATTTCTCGTTTCAAGAATTTTCTCTCAAATAAATTAGATAAATAAAAACCATACATGTAACATAGTA